TTTGGGTCGACATCAAGGATGAGATTGGTGGTAACAACTGAGGCCTGGTGTGTGGGAGGCCACCACACACACACCTCCAGCACCACACACACACCAGCACCACACACACACCAGCACCACACACACACCAGCACCACACACACACCAGCACCACACACACACCAGCAGCACCACCACCACACACCACCACACACACCACCAGCACCACACACACCAGCACCACACACACACCAGCACCACACACCATCAGCACCACACACACACCAGCAGCACCACACACACACCTCCAGCACCACACACACACCAGCAGCACCACACACACACCACCAGCACCACACACACACCACCAGCACCACACACACACCACCAGCAACACACACACACCTCCAGCACCACCACACACACACAACCACCACCACACACCACCACCAGCACCACACACCACCACACACACACCCCATCACCACACACCACCACCATCACACACCACCAGCACCACCACACACACACCACCAGCACCACACACCACCAGCACCACACACCACCACCAACACACACACACCACCAACACACACACACCACCAGCACCACACACCACCAGCACCACACACCACCACACACACACCACACACACGCACGCACACACACCACCACCACACACCACCACCACCACACACCTCAGAAAGGATCTAACCAAGCCTCACCATATACTAAGCAACAATTCCCCTCGTCACACCCCAGTTTCCCACAACACGATCCGATGTGTAAAGAAACATTGTGTGATTTAAAGCTTACTACCATACAACGGAAAGATCGTCACTATTATCTAGCTATAACGCCGGCAACAGGGGATCACAACGCCTTCATTAACCAAAATATCCGATAATTGTTTTTTCTAGTGAACGTAATTAACATAGACAACATTGCAGAGTTTTAATTACACTAGAAAACATTCAGTACCATTTCCCCTCAGTCGGGGTCGAGAGTAATTTCGTCCCTAGTTGGTGGTGCAGAACAGTTAGCCCAACACACACACACACACACACACACACACACACACACACACACACACACACACACACACACACACACACACACACACGAGTCTGGCAGGGGCGGGGGCGGGATCCAGAACAGTTGGAGCTTGTCTCCAGTCATCAGTATAATATCCCCAAAATAACAGGCTTTCAAGTCAATAAACAAACACCTGCAGGCTTGTGTAGGGATTTACAGGTGTCATTAACTAGCACAGCCAGGTGTAGAGGCCCCAGCAGCAGCACCATCACGCCAGGTTCTCCCGCATAATTCATCAGACTTTTCAAATCCTGTGTTTTGTAAATACAATTACTTGTTACACATGCACGCACGCTCACTCACGCTCATTCACACACACACACACACACACACACACACACACACACACACACACACACACACACACACACACACACACACACACACTCCAGCAATAATACAGACCAAAAGCCTAGCATTCATGAAAATTTACTCAGAAACCTAATCAGTGTATTACCTATCAAGGGAATTAAAGTAATCGCCCCTCCACTCCCTCCCTGTTGAACTACGACTTACCGGTCTGTTACAAAAAATACAATACAAGCTGTAACTAAAGAGCTTTACAGACTTTAGGAGATGAGAGACCTCGAGGTCCATCAAACGATCATAAGATTATTTACTGGGTAATTCGCGATGGTGTAAAATGGCCCGGGCGCTGAGCGGCTGTAACCGGCTCTGTGTCGCTCGTTACAACCTTGTTGTAATTACAATGAGCCCCGAGAGGACAATATGGTGCCATGCCCCCCCTCTCCCCGTGGCCTCTGGCTCCACTCCCCCTCAACAGCGTGTCCCCTCCGATTTGTTGCTCCTGTAAGTCAGTGAGGGGACGAGATCTATTTGTGCCTCTGCGGCCACGTTAGTACTCGGGGTTATGGGGAGTGAAAGCGAAGATTCTTCGAGGATGGGGGGCTAGAGAATGGGGGTGGGGGATAGGATGGCGGGTCGAGAGCCGCGGGGTGGATCCAAACACAGCTGTTTGTTCAGTCAGAGGGACTGTCGTCCAAATGAAGATGATGTTCAGTGAAATTCCGCACTGAGCTTCGTTCGCTTTCCAAAACATTTCAGGTACCTCTTCGCTTGGACTATTGCCTCAATAAATACCTTCCTCTCCTAAATTAAATACTAAAAAATAGACCGAAAGACATCAAAATTGTCAATCAAAAAGAAGATGGAGGCTTCTATCCTCTCTTCCCTCTGAGGAAATAGGCCGAGAATCGTCGTGGAGGCGCCGCAGCAGGAAGAGGACGCGAGCGACGGTTAGGGATGATGGTGGCAACGATTGGGTCATCCAGCGTCGGGCGGGTGGCGGGAACAAGAGGGTATTAGACCTGCACGGAGCAATTACCGAAATGATATGCAGAGTTGGTGCGGGGGGGCGGGGCACGGGAGGCGACTCGCCCCTTGACATGGGGTAGACAAGGGTAGTAGAAGGGGACAACCAGAAAGGGGAGGTGGAGGGTTCTAGAGGGGGTAGGGATGGAGGGGGGAGGTTGTGGAGGGTGAAGGGGGGGTAGTGAGTATGGATGGTGAAGGGTCCAGACCGCTCATTCACACAGCCCAGTGCTGCTTCCACTGGTTCCGGCACCAAATGAGATTCACTGTCTGCTATAAACGACCCCTCTTCATTTCTGCATTCTCCCACTCGACACACTCATCCCCCTGTCCCATCTCGCCCCCCTTCCTCCCCTTTCCATTTCCCCCCCCCCCCTTCAACCTCATTCCCTCCCATCCCCCCTTTCCCTTCCTCTCATACAACCCTGCATTCCTCCCTTCCTCTTCCCGTTCTGAGACTCTAAATCATCAGCTGCCATTTCCAGCGGATTATTGCCAACTACATAAATACGAGTTGCATAATGTTACTAAGGAACATCGTCCATTATTACTGTACGGAACGAGAAACTTGGCGAATAAAAATTCAATGTTAAATATTTTATAGTATAACGATGATTGTGTTAGAAGTATTGTGTTAAATAAGGTGAAGTTTCCTTGTTTCCTTAGAGAAAAGTGGAGTTTGTTGTAAGTTACAGGAAGAGTCGCGAAGTTCAAAACTGTAAGAATTAGGAGCAGTAAAGGCTATATTTGTAATTTGTATGACATTCAGACCCCACGCTCGCTTGTTTATGTATTGAGTTTTCAATGTGTCTTAGCAATTTCATGTAGGTATTAGTCTCTTGCATTAAATCAGTATTTTCTTACTCATAAAGTGTGTGTGTGTGTTGTGTGTGTGTGTGTGTGTGTGTGTGTGTGTGTGGGTGTGTGTGTGTGTTGTGTGTGTGGGTGTGTGTGTGGGTGTGTGTGTGGGTGTGTGTGTGGGTGTGTGGGTGTGTGTGTTTTATTTATATTTCGAGGTTAGGAGCCAACGGTACAGTGTAGGGGAGTGATGGTGTTGCAAAGGTACAGTGAGGTGGTGGTGGTGGAGTTGCAAAGGTACAGTGAGGTGGTGGTGTTGGTGTTGTATGGTACAGTGTCTTGATAATTGTGTTGCATAGTATTGTGTTATAGTGATAGTGCAACAGGAGACATTTATGTGATGGTGAACGTGGCGTCAGTGTGACCAACTCTGGCCGTCGGCGCCCGGAGCTCTTGGTCTCATATTCCTGTAATTAGTACTGACACAATCTTCCATGTCGTTACCATGTCCTGACAGCCAGTTTCAACTTAATGCTGTACAGCGTAGTGGTGGTAGATTGACGGTAGATGTACGCTGTGGAGTTTAGTAGTGGTAGATTGATGGTAGATGTATGCTGTACAGTGTTTAATTATTCTAGTTGTAGGAATGAGTTATATACTAATATAACGTTCGGTACACTGAATTTCTGCAGTTTGGTCATCTTGTATTCAGTAATTTGAGTACATTTGAATAGTGTTCTGTACAGTGTACTGTGCTATACTGACTCGTCTGCTCAACTAATAGGTCAAGTTTTTGGTTATTGCAACCAACATTCATATTTAATTCGTATTTTTTTTTATTAACATATTAGGTACATCTGCATTAGTGCAGCTACCCTAGACTATATGAAGTGGAGTACAGTGTGTCAAAAAAAGCTAACTAGGTGATGCTAAAAAATCCCCATCACACAGGATGGTTAGTCATACAGAGGCATGTGATAAGCGGTCTGCACTGGCAGACTCCGGATGCATTTTGAGGATATCAACAACACAAGATTGAATAAGGTAGCAGTGGTAATACAAGTCCCCATCTCGCAGGATGGTTAGTCATACAGAGCCATGTGTTTAATAGCCTGCACTGGCAAATTTTGGGTATACTGTGAGGATATCTTCAAGAATACGAGAGTGAATAAAGTAATTGCAAAGCTCCAGGTACCTCATGCCAACTGGTCTGAAAGGTCTAATAACTGGGCATTCAGTGATGTAGTGCGGGAGATCATGCCGTAGTTCCTGCTCACAGAGTTTGCAACTGGAGTGCTCAGGATTGGGAGACCCGTCACCTGCAGCCACCTGCCATAGGTAACGGTAACCCAACCTGATCCTTGCAACCACTGTGTCGCACAGTCTAGTGGACGTTTTGTAGATGTAGGTTTCAGATCTGAACAAATCATAGCTTTTTATACTAGTACTTTCAGGTCGTTGGGAGTCAGTAAATTCTTTCCTATCAGATCTGAATGTTTGGACCAATACAGTTTTGACAGCAGAGATGGGGATACCTAGATCTAATTCAACTTCAAACTTATTACACGCTAATTTGGCTGCAATGTCTGTCTCATTATGATGGGTTATATTTATGTGTGAAGGTATCCATACAAAGGAGATTCGAGACCCTTTACTCTGTGCATCAATTAGGTCATTTATAATTGGGAGTATGAGGTTCTTGCTGTCGATCTTCCAAGAGAAGTTTTCGAAAAAATTATTTACACCGCAAGCCGGGTTAGCCGTGAAAGTCTACGGGGTCTGCTACCCATGTTTTATTACTCGCTATACTCTGTTATTCTCAGGAGTTTATCCTTGTAGATTAAAGAAGTCGAGAGGTAGTGAAGATGTGGAGTGCTGAAAGGTTGAGCCACATATGATGCCGTGAGTGGTGTACTGTTGGTGTCACCGTTGCTGTCATCACCGTTGCTGCTATCTCCGTTGCTGCTATCACCGTTGCTGTTATCTCCGTTGCTGCTATCACCGTTGCTGTTATCTCCGTTGCTGCTATCACCGTTGCTGCCATCTCCGTTGCTGCCATCTCCGTTGCTGCTATCTCCGTTGCTGCCATCTCCGTTGCTGCCATCTCCGTTGCTGCCATCTCCGTTGCTGCCATCTCCGTTGCTGCTATCTCCGTTGCTGCCATCTCCGTTGCTGCCATCTCCGTTGCTGCTATCACCGTTGCTGCTATCGCCGTTGCTGCTATCTCCGTTGCTGCTATCTCCGTTGCTGCTATCTCCGTTGCTGCCATCACCGTTGCTGCCATCACCGCTGCTGCCATCACCGCTGCTGCCATCACCGTTACTGCCATCACCGTTGCTGCCATCACCGTTGCTGCCATCACCGCTGCTGCCATCACCGTTGCTGCCATCACTGTTGCTGCCATCACCGTTGCTGCGATCACCGCTGCTGCCATCTCCGTTGCTGCCATCTTCGCTGTTGCCATCACCATTGCTGCCATCTCCGTTGCTGCCATCACCGTTGCTGCCATCACCGTTGCTGCCATCACCGTTGCTGCCATCACCGTTGCTGCCATCACCGTTGCTGCCATCACCGTTGCTGCCATCACAGCTGCTGCCATCACCAATGATTTACTGATTAAGAGACTGCGAATACTACAATGTGTAGAGGGGATTTAATCCGTGTGAAAGTCAAATATTGACAGTTTCTTACGCGATCAATACAATTAGTCTGCCTCAAGTAGTCTACCCCTGCGAGAACCACCACCCCTTAAGCTCGCACGCCACCACACACCACCACACACTACCACACACCACCACACACCACCACACACCCCCACACACCCCCACACACCCCCACACACCACCACACACCACCACACACCCCCACACACACCACCACACACCATCACACACCACCACACAACCACCCACCCCACCACACACCACCACACACCCCCACACACCCCCACACACCACCACACACCACCACACACACACCACACACCACCACCCACCACCACAACCACCCACCCACCCCCCACACACCACCACACACCCCCACACACCACCACCACACCCCCACACACCACCACACACCACCACCCACCCCCACACACCAACACACACCACCACTCACTCCCACACACCACCAACCCATCACACACACCACCACAACCACCCACCCACCCCGCTCACACACCCCCACACGCCAGCACACACCACCACACACCACCACACACCACATCCACCCACCACCACACACCACCACACACCACCACTCACCCCCAGACACCCCCACACACCCCCACACACCCCCACACACCACCACACACCACCACACACCACCACACACCACCACACACCACCACACACCACCACACACCCCCACACACCCCCCACAACCACCCACCCCTCTCACACTCCACCACTCCCCACCCACCACACAGAATCCCCTTGTGTTATTAGCATTAAAACGTTTCGGCCCTCTCTGACGAGTGCCAATCCCCAGTGCGGCGTCGCTGGCCAAGGCACAGGGACCAGCAGCGACTAATGGTGTGCAATAAGCGGTGATTTATCACCAGCAAATGGATATCGACCAGACATATACTGCTTGTGGAGCTAGTCCTCAATGGCCACTCTTCTTGATCCGGTAAAGTGGGTAGTGTTTGTAGTTATAATTGTTTAGAGGGATATTAGAAGCTTAATACTTCAGGGGTAAATGGGATGGTGGTGGCAGGAGCAACGAGTAAAGATGGAAGACAGTAGCAGCAGCAGTAGCAGCAGCAGCAGCAGCAGAAGCCGTAGCAGTAGCAGCAGCAGCAGCAGCAGAAGCCGTAGCAGCAGCAGCAGCAGCAGCAGAAGCCGTAGCAGCAGCAGCAGCAGCCTTAGCAGCAGAAGCCGTAGCCGCAGAAGCAGCAGCAGCAGCAGAAGCCTTAGCAGCAGCAGCAGCAGCAGGAGCAGTGATCGGCTTACAGCGAGCGCTCACAATAAATGATTCTAACATGCTCTTATAGTCGGCAGGTGTCGCCCTGTGGACCTGATGCTCTCACCAACAATGGCATCAATTAGAGTTGTGTTTTATACATATAAAAAGGTTTAATTTTGGCTTAAGGGAGTTTTAAGTTTACGTTAACAGTGGTATTCAACACTAGTGATTTACGAGAGCAGTTTCCGGTATCATCGTTGTTATTGATCGAATTCTTTGATTAAAAATAGTATTTTTTGTGGTTTCCGACGCCTAAAAGGGTTTATTTATAATAATAATTTGTATTTGCAAGAAGGTACAATAGGTTGGCGAGAGATTATATAGGACTGGTGTTTTGACATTCATGTAAAGCCACTAACACGAATCGCGTTTCGAGCAGAAACTGGCAAATTTGAACGTGTATCTGTTCAAAGTCCATTTTCCCCAAGAGGAATTGTTGTAATATGGATGTTGTAATACGCTGTAATATCTGGTTCTTTCTACAACATGAAGGTTTAGATGCGGACCTCCAATATTACCTCTGTAGCTCGTAAATTAAGAACGGTACAGCGAAATCTATTTAGCAAAATATATTGTATAGCTTTGAGAGTACAATGCACACAGCGCCATATATATATATATATATATATATATATATATATATATATATATATATATATATATATATATATATATATATATATATATATATATATATTGCATCATGCAGTGAGGTTACTTAGTTTATCAACTTGCAGGTCCACGTTGATATCATATCTCAACTGATCCTATACTGCCTGCCAAAACTTGTAAAGCGGAAACCTGAAACTTTCAATCTTTGCTCTTGTAGTATTTCTTAAGTTTGCGGAAGAAAGTTGAGACGTTGCAGGTCTCTAATGTTGGAGGCGTTTTCTAATTGTGGTGATGGGGCAATTGAATGGTTTGATAGAGATTATACTGTATCTCCCTAGTTTCCTTTCTCCTTTTCCTCCTTTATAAATTGAGTATTATAAGGTGGTCCTTTACGTCCTCTTCAGTTCCACAAAAGCAGTGGAATCACCTCTGAGATTTGTGTATGGATTAGAAAGCCAGATAAAAGATACCATTTGGGAGATGAAATCCTTCAAGATCAGAGAGAGAGAGACCTGGGAGATGATATCATGCCAGACCTGTCCCCTGAAACCCACATAAAGATATCATCAGCGGCATAAGCGCTTTGGCCAACATAAGAGCGGCCTTTAGAAACTTGTTTAAGGAATCATTCAGAACCTTGTATACCACATATGTCAGACCAATCCTGGAGTATGCAGCCCCAGCATGGAGTCCATATCTCGTCAACCATAAGACTAAATTGGAGAAGGTTCAGAGGTTTGCCACCAAATTAGTACTCGAGCTGAGGGGCATGAACTGTGAGGAGAGACTACGGGAACTAAACCTCACGTCGCTGAAAGAAAGAAGAGCAAGGGAAGACATGACCACCACATACAAGAGTCTCAGAGCAATTCATAGGGTGGATAAAGCAAGTTTATTTAATACAATGACCACATGCAATAGGGGAAGGTGTCGAAATTGAGTACTCAAATGAGCCATAGAGACATTAGATAAAAAAAATTTAGTGTTTGAGTAGTTGACAAATAGAATGCATTATGACGTGATGAGGTGAAGGCAGAATCCATACACAGTTTCAAGTGTAGACATGGTAGACAAATAGGCTCAGGAACGTGTACACCAGTTAATTGACAGTTGAGAGGCTGGACCAGAGAGCCGAAGCTCAACCCCCGCAAGCAGCACAACTAGACGAGTACATCTTGAACCCCCCCTCCCCCAATCCCTCACTCCCCCTCAGTAACTCAGGCATAAGATGGCTTTCACTCTCTCTCTCTCTCCCGGTCCAATATCCGAAGTTTAATCTAAAGTTTACCTCCAGTATCGGTGAGTGGAGAAAGATTTCGGTCGAGACTGTAGCGAGGACTCGCGGGCTGTGTTCCAGACCTCACCATAGTTCCCTGGTGTGCAGCAGGCGTTCACTTGGTACACTTGAAGGATATTGAACTTTTTTGGGGTTTACACAGGTGGGTACTGGAAGATGCAACTTCTGTTACCTGTTAGCAGGCTGATAAAGCTTTCCCTTCCTATAGCTCATGGGATGTGTTCCCCACAACGTAGCCTCAATGTGTTATTAAAACTTTGATAACACTTAAATAACGTTAAAAAAAACATGTTTACATGTTAAAAACACTTAAATCACATACACAAATGCAATCTTTAGATTATTTGTTTTGAATACAGTATTCAGAGTAAAGGAACACTTACTGGCTGTAGTTGATAAACGGCAGAAGAGGAGAAAATAATGCAAGTAATGCTGTCAAGAGTTACCTGTCAGCATTTTGACTGGCAGGTAACTAACATCAAACGCTGATGAACGGCCAGATATTTTACCGACAGCCGCTCTGATTGGTCGTGAAGCGGCCTGTACTAATAGGCTGAGCTAGGCAGTAATATTTACACTTTAACCACTTACCTCCCCGGGGATTTTAGAACTACTCTCGATGAGTGATTATCAAACCGGAAATTAACTATTCCTAACTAAAACATACACTGTGACTTTAAAATTAATGCCATTAAATAATCCAGATTAAATTAAAATAATTCGCTCCAGAATTCAACATCTAATGACGTCACATGTAGAATGATTCGGCCAATCAGGGCGCTTCTGGGAAGATCGGTTTGTAGTGGTCTGCCACCTGGCGGCGACGTCTGTAACCTTTACATCTTGTCTTTAACAGATAGATATTATGCTGGGAGGGGGGGGGGGAATACACGAGAGAGAGAAATCACAGTAACGTGAAATATCGATGAAAAAATCCACAAAAGCCGTGATGAGGATTCGAACCTATGTGCAGGGTGTTCCCTGACACATTAAATTAAAAAAATTAATTTTAATTAAATTAAAAAAAGAATAGTAATAAAGTATCATATATATTTACACAAATTAGAACACTTAAGTAATAGAAAAGTGAAGCACTTTAGATTCAGAAAACAAATTTGGTAAAATCCAGTTTGGAAATTGGGTTGTGAATTTATGGGACAAATTACCAGATAACACTAATGTGTAACTCTTCCTGTTTCTGGGTAATAAATGTTTCCTGATAGTTTGTGCCTACATAGTATAGAAAATGGTTATCATTCCCTTTAAAATATGCACTGATCTTTGTCTAAGACAGCCGTGGGAAGACGTCCTGAGAGCACCTGAAGGGCTGACAGCTTATGAAACAAAGCGTCACAGCTCTAGACAAAAGTCGGCCGCCTTCAGGGACCTTCAGGACGCTGTCCCTAAGTTCTCTTAGCAAAGAGTGTGTGTGTGTGTGTGTGTGTGTGTGTGTGTGTGTGTGTGTGTGTGTGTGTGTGTGTGTGTGAGGGAGGGAGACAGCACGCCCCCTGCCAGCAGTGTGAAATACCGTCTTGTTTATCACAACAAGGACAATTCTTCACAACTTTACATCTCATAAATATTGTCAGAGCTCCTCCTCTGTCTCTTTAACGCTCTGCCTTGTTTCCATCCTCTTCATCTGCTGCTTTCTCCTCATCCTTCACCCCATCCTTCTCATCTCTTGCTGCTATTTTCCTCCCTTTTCCATTCGTCCAGTTTCCAACTGTCACCTTTTTCCTCTTATTATTTTCTTCTCCAGGTAGGTCTCTCTCTCTCTCTCTCTCTCTCTCTCTCTCTCTCTCTCTCTCTCTCTCTCTCTCTCTCTCTCTCTCTCTCTCTCTCTCTCTCTCTCTCTCTCTCTCTCTCTCTCTCTCTCTATGTGTAAAAGTACACTGATCAAGTGTACATAGCAGTCTGGACACGTAGAGCAGAGCAAAGCTCTGTAATTATGTAATCATGCACAGTTTATCTGGCAACCTAGCGCTCACGGGCAAGTTAATAGGGAAGCAGGCAAGGAGGCAGGTAGGGAGGTAGGGATGCAGGTAAGCAAGTAAGGAAGCGGACAAGCAAGCCAGCAATTAGGTTGGCAGGCAAGGAGGCAGGCTGGCAGGCAAGGAGGCAGGCAGGCAGGCAGGCAGACAGGCAAACTAGCAAGGAAGGGAGTAGGTAGGTGGGCCAATAATCAGGCAGGCAAGCAGAGAGAGAGAGAGAGAGAGAGAGAGGAAGGAAGAAAAATAAGAGAACCCGAGCGAGTCTGTTGCGTCCCAAAGCAGCCAATCACGGCCAGATATTTCTGCATCGTGTTTTCATTTCACGGGTCATTTTCACGTGATTATTCGCTTCCTTCTGCGTGGTATTTATTTCCCCCTCCTCCTGCCTTTGCGTCCACCTCCATTACCTCTCCTCCATCACGCTCTCCTTCCTTCCTCCCAGACTCTCTTGTCTCCTTTATCACTCCTCTCCCCCTCCTCCACGTCTCGTCTTTCTTGGTTATATTCGCTCTCCCTTCTCCTTCATATATTTTTCCCTATATATATATTTTTGTTCAGTTTTGGCGTTTCTTTAGTTATTTCTTATGGCTCATTACTGGTGCATTTGTCAAGAATTTGTTGTTGTTTGTTCAGCTTGACGAAGCTTGTCCCATCGCCCGTCATGTCCCAAATCTGGGACATGACACGTCCCTGGGGCACTCCACCGCCGTCCCCAGGGGCCACTTCGCAGCCGTCCCCAGGGGCCACTCCGCAGCCGCCTCCCCCTGGCCTCCGTAGGCAGCATCTAAACATCTTACGAGGCATTAATACAGGAATTGATTCTCATTTCTTAAAGTTACACTGAAGTTCTCTGTCAGGGCGACTCCATACACCTCCCTCTCTTACTGGATGTAGAGGGCCTTACTGCCTCTTCGGTCCCTCTCTTTACTGCCTCTTCGGTCCCTCTCTTTACTGCTTCTTCGGTCCCTCTCTTTACTGCCTCTTCGGTCCCTCTCTTTACTGCTTCTTCGGTCCCTCTCTTTACTGCCTCCTCGGTCCCTCTCTTTACTGCCTCTTCGGTCCCTCTCTTTACTGCCTCCTCTTGTTGTTTTTACCAGTTCTCTGTAATGATGCTATGGTGTCCCTTCGTTGTTTCTTAGATCATCATTTCAGCTTTACTTTACTCAGTTTTTTCTAGTTTCTTCTCTAGTTCTTCTTCATGCTTCCAGTTTCTTATGCTTCCGTTTTACTTTTCAGTTTCTGTTGATCCACTTCTGTTTATTGGGATGTGTGTGTGTGTGTCTCCTGTTGATATCTCTGTTGTCACTTGGTGTGTGTCTCCTGTTGATATCTCTGTTGTCACTTGGTGTGTGTCTCCTGTTGATATCTCTGTTGTCACTTGGTGTGTGTCTCCTGTTGATATCTCTGTTGTCACTTGGTGTGTGGCTTCTGTGCTTCTATTGGTTGTTTCTTGTGTGGGTCTTCTGTCGCTTCCTTCTCCTTTACTGTCTCTTCCTGTGTCTTTATTGCTGTGATTGTCATTTATACCTTTATCACACCCTTTCTCTGTGCGTGGTCACCGTTGCATTGGAACATTGTGTTTCTGGAACAACATGAACAAGATCCCTTTATCTTAAGACCTGAAATAGCAGCGTCTTTGGGACACCAGTAGTGAGGACCGTATTAGTGTGACGACGACCTCACCAGCTCCTTCAAGAGGTCCGATAAGGTTATAGCAAGTGTCCCGTCAGCGGTGTTCGCCTCGTGGGCCCCTGGGAGATCGCCTGGTGCCCAGACGAGATATAAAATAATATACTCGTGGAAAATACTAGAGGGCCAGGTCCCAAATCTACACAGTAAAATAACAACGTACTGGAGTGAACGATATGGAAGAAAATGCAGAACAGAACCAGTGAAGAGCAGGGGTGCCATAGGCACAATCAGAGAACATGTATAAACATCAGAGGTCCACAGTTGTTCAACAAACAGTTCACAGTTACAAACCCAATAGGATTTCAACCTAGATTCAACAGAGTAGATGTTGTTGTTAAACACATGGGGCATAATCTTACTGAAGCGAACATAAGAGTCATAAAGATTCATACTCCGCCTAAGTAAAACAGAAACAAGAAACAAGTAACACTTACTTGCCCATAAACAAAGGGTCCGAGCAGAAATATCCATGCAAAAAAAAATACACCTAGCGGGTATAAGAAATATTGACGAAACAAACGTGGACATCTTCAAGAAACCAATTATAGTTTTCTTCAAGAGGTGCCGAACCAACCGGGCTGTGGTGGATATGTGGGGCCAGCGGGCCGCTCCAAGCAACAGCCTGTTGGACCAAGCTCTCACAAGACAAATCTGGCCCCAGGCCGGGCTTGGGGAGTAGAAGGACTCTTAGAACTCCATCCAGGTGCAATCCAGGTGTCAGATGTGGCCTGGGTTGACACCAAGTGTGGAATAACGCTATCAAATGTGAAGAGAAGTGGAGGATAGTGAAGAAGGTGGAAGAAACAAAGGGGAAGAAGGAGATAGGTAAGAGGAGACGATAAGGGTTCCTGCGAAGATGAATGACCTGCTGACGGACGATAAAATGACTCAGACAGCTATTGAGGAGGAAGGAGGAGAGGAGAAATGAGATAAATAGATGAGAGAGAATGAGAGGGTAAAAAGAACATAAAATGAGAGAAAGGGGGGAAATACAAGTGATAGAAACTATATGAAAGGAATCCATCGACAACAATCGACTCCCCCTTGATTTTGAAGGGGTGACCTCTTGACCTCCCCCCCCCCCCTAGAGATGAGACAGGGGGGGGATGAACAAGGGTGTTATTTTAGCCAAGGAAGCCATGAGAAAGATGAGGAAACTCGAGCAAAATTAAATATGAGAAAACTGTGGAACAAAAGTTTTTTAATTACTAATTTTTGTTTGTATTTTCCCAAGATTATGTAGTGTTTAGATGGCAGCCACTTTCCTCCCCCTGTGGAGGGTAGCCACTTTCCTTCCCCCTGTGGAGGGCAGCCACTTTCCTCCCCCCTGTGGAGGGTAGCCACTTTCCTTCCCCCTGTGGAGGGTAGCCACTTTCCTTCCCCCTGTGGAGGGCAGCCACTTTCCTCCCCCCTGCGGAGGGCAGCCACTTTCCTTCCCCCTGTGGACGGCAGCCACTTTTCTTCCCCCTGTGGAGGGCAGCCACTTTCCTCCCCCTGTGGAGGGCAGCCACTTTCCTCCCCCCCTGTGGACGACAGGCACTGCCCTAACACTTCATTTATTTTACCATTGACAGTCACTTGACAATTCTCTAGCCACCACACATATAGCATACATGTATATAATCTAATATGTGGGGATATAATGGAAATATACAAATGTAAATATATCCACATACTTCCACAGAACACTAATGTTATGTACTCTCTCTCAACCTAAGGCGTCTTCTGGTATATACATAAGTAAATAAATAAATTGTTAGTCATATGAGAAGTGGTTTTCACCCAATTCATCATCTTAGTGAGCTGATGAATCTGTCTATAATGAAAACTAAAAATGAATCGGGTTTTCAGGATGAATAAAAAAAAGTTATACTTGTGAAGCAACTTAATGGATTGGTGAATCAGCCAAATGGCATAACGAATCAGATTAGGGGATTAGAGGTAATTTTTCCCCCGGTGCTGAGAAATCAGCTTAGTTAAGTGATCAAATTGTAAATTGCTATGTAAGCTCGGTAATTGATAAAAAAATCTGCGAAAAATATCTGAATCAGCTTGGTGAATTGACAGATTAGTTAACAGCGAAGTAAGCTTGCTGGATGAGGGGGGGGGGGGACGCTGATAAAACATTACCTGCTAATCGCCTTTGTTACGTTATATAAACTTATCTTTGGGAAAATGGGTAATGGGTAGTGCCTCTTCACCCCATCTGACCCCCTCTGACACCCCCCTTGCACTCCCTTACCCACCCCTTACCCACACCTCCCCCTCTCGAGTGAGAGAAGCTCCGTATTTTGACCTTTTGTTTTTCAACCCTTCCACTTGCAACAAGAACAGTGAGTGGTGTGTGTGCGTGCGTGTGTGCGTGCGTGTGTGCGTGCGTGTGTGTGAGTGTGAGTGTGAGTGTGAGTGTGAGTGTGTGTGTGTGTGTGTGTGTGTGTGTGTGTGTGTGTGTGTGTGTGTGTGTGTGTGTGTGTGTGTGCATAATTGAAATCATCAAAATATGCAAGTTTTTGAAACTGTAAAAGATGCAAGTGCGCTAAGCGAGAATACTTGCCGGCCTTTTAAGTTACACACACGCTTAACTCAGGGGGGCACTTAATGGCCCTTAGGGCGCCCCTGCTCCTCCTTGTCCGAACGACATTGTCCCCCTCTTAAAGTCGTCCGCCTCCTTGTAGAACGCCCCGATTTCCAGGGCGTTCGTGAGCCTCGCTTCCCGACCCGTTCCTCGATAGAATCCTTAGTGAATCCGATGACTCTGACATCTCCCGCCTAGTGTGCCTTTGTCCTCGAATTGGCGCCTTCGATGTCTGCCCTGCTTGATGCCTTCTGTTGATAATTGCTATCACTTGCCCCCCCCCCAAGCCTCTTGCTTGCTTGCTTGCGTCTATTTCCCAGCATGCATATGTCGTCTGTGGCTTCCTCAGTTCTCATAGAGATTATCTTGTGTGTTGGAGGAGGGTGGCTTTACCCGTTTCTCAAGGGTCGCGTGGCTTTCCGACCCCCCTAACCCTCTCTCCACCTGGTGGGTTGTGGGGAGAAAGGGTGGCTTTACTTCCCCCGAGCCTGGCAGGGTGCTCCCACCAGGAGGTTTCTCCCCGGGACGAAGCCAGCCAGCCACATCCAGCTTCCTAATGGATTTCCAAATGTATTTCAAATCCCTCAACGTGCATTGTATTTTATGCCTGTGTAATCCTCTTTTCATAGCTTCTGCAATTGTAAGTGTGGTAAAGAGCGAGGAGGCCAGCTGGAGGGAGAGCCAGGAGAAGCAAATAAAAAAAAGCTAGGCCGGATAGAGAGAACAGGGAGAAGTAAAGAAGGGCAGGCCGGATAGAGAGAACAGGGATAGTTGGGGAAAGGATAGGCAGAATATTTTCCACACGAGACTGTCCACCACCGCCGCCAACCTGCTGCTGCTCTCAGCTGTTGCGTTGGGTCGTCTCCTATCCTCTACCCTGTATACCCCCCCCTACCCCCACCCGCCCCCACCCCCCCATCCCTCTCCTCTGTCCCTTCCCATCCTACTCCCCCTCCCTCCCTCTCTCGTCAGCTGTGTGTCCACCTCTTACCTTCGTTCTATCCTCCCTCTCCCTCTCTCTCCCTTCCCTCTCTCTCTCTCTCCCTTCCCTCTCTCTCTCTCTCTCTCTCTCTCTCTCTCTCTCTCTCTCTCTCTCTCTCTCTCTCTCTCTCTCTCTCTCTCTCTCTCTCTCTCTCTCTCTACTACCATCAGTATAATCACACAACTTAATACACCTCCAACGTTGAAAATACTTACTCACCAAGACAATTATACAATACAGGTATAATTCCCATTTCTCCCATAGATGTTAATCACATATTTATTAAAGAAACATATAGTTTTATACTCTTAATTTGCTTCAATGTCTTCCATTTTAATGATATTCTCTGCAGCCACAGTTGACTAATAACATTTTCATTATCGGCCGTGTCTATTATTAAATAGTTTGGTGTATAGTGAATAAGTGAATAGTGAATAAGCAACATTCTACTAAACCGACCAAGTTGTCTCAACGTAACGGAAAAGTGTGGCACCTTGCTTAACCGGATGCAACTCCCTAAAATCACTGTGATAGCACATTCCGCCCGCTTAACCGGCCATGAACAACGGTATACGATCTGTATCTGACGTCCGGAGTCTCCATGGAGCCCGCAGCTTTGCAGGCAGAGCTTCAGCAAGCGAACGTATCCGGCCGTTCTCGTTCGAACAGGCGGGCTTGGGCCGGATAGCAGGCGACCAGGGGGTAGAAACCCGTGATGGTTTTCCGATGGCAACACCATTTTTCTCATAACCTCCCCCCCCCCCACTTACCCATAACACTCCCTCCCTTACCCATAAGCCCCCCCCCCCACCCATCCCCTCTCCCTAACCCCCCTCTTTACTCTTCCTACCCAGGCTTCGTGCCCTTCCTCTTACTCTTCTCCCCTCTTCTTCTACTTCCTATTGCTCCTTCTCTTACCCTTGCCTTCTATTACCTGCTCTTGAAGCAGCAGCGACGATTCACTAAAGGTATTACTTCTAATTCAAGGTTCAATATCTGATCTTTTATTTAATAGACGAGCCCCGGCACTTTCCTTCCCCCTATGGAGGATAGGCACTTTCCTTCCCCCTATGGAGGATAGGCACTTTCCTTCCCCCTATGGAGGATAGGCACTTTCCTTCCCCCTATGGAGGATAGGCACTTTCCTTCTCCTTGTGGAGGGGGGAGGAAATATCTAAGTCCAGGAAGGTGTGTGTGTGTGTGTGTGTGTTTAGCGACGTCGCTGCCATCTCGTAGTGCAGTTGGCTTCGTTCTCGGTTCGGAACAGGAATTCGTGAGTTCGATTACCGGGGCGGGACACGGTTCCTTTCACCTCATACACATGTTCACCTAGCCGCAAACAGGTACCATGGTTAGGCAACCGTTGTGCTGCATCCTGCGAATAGTCAGCAGTTCCATCTTTGGGAACCCTCAATACAAGCCCAATATATCTAATGTATATATGTGAAAACTGACCTCTCAGTCACCAGGTATGTGTGGGACTTGGCCCCCGTCTCGAAGACCAGGTAGACCTTCCAAGCCTACCAGAAGTCTAAATGCTTCTACCAGAAGTACCAAAAGTCTAAATGCTCGATTATAACTGCCGGGAAATTCTGTGGAAAGCCTCCCAGAACTCTCAACTGGCGCCTAAAACTCTGGAGAGAGAGAGAGATTCCAAGACTCCTGAGATGTAAATCGTGTCCCTTCCTCGAGGTCTGACTCTATGTAGTGCTGGAGAGTGTTAATGTGGTGTTATAAACGGCTATAAGCTCCATGAACACATAAACACAAATCTTCACTAGGCTCAGTTATCCCATACCCACCAACAATCATCCTGCAAAGTTTAGTGAGGCTAATCCAAGCGTTTTCCTTCCAACCTATGGACATTGACATTGTTTTATTTATAGATATACGAGTAATTGATCTCGCAAAGGAGGATATAAGGGTTTCTGCGGCGTCCCAAGGATGATAGATGACTATCTTGGCATCCCAAAGAGGATAGAGAAGTAGCTGAGCGTCCTAAGGAAGGCGAAGAAGTGCTTGTAGGATAGTTCCTTCTGCACCAGATGCCTCGTCGGGGTCGTGTGTGTGTGTGTGTGTGTGTGTGTGTGTGTGTGTGTGTGTGTGTGGCGAGGGGTCGTGTGTGTGTGTGTGTGTGTGTGTGTGTGTGTGTGGCGAGGGGTCGTGTGTGTGTGGCGAGGGGTCGTGTGTGTCTGTGGCGAAAGGTCGTGTGTGTGTGTGTGTGTGTGTGTGTGTGTGTGTGTGTGTGTGTGTGTGTGTGTGTGTGTGTGTGTGTGTGGCGACGTCTCACAGGGTGTTGACAGTGAACTGTGTTACCATTTCAAGACACACTGTGGGTCACTGTAGCGAGAAAAGTGCTTAAAGTGACGGCTATGTGTCCGCCCCTCCGGACGACCTGGTCAACGAGAGGTGCCGCGTTCAGCGGGAAAGTTTGAATTTATTAACACTTGCCGGGAGAGTTGTATTTTATACAAGAGCCTAGCGAGCCCCCCCCCCCCCCACCCCCCTCCCTCCCCTACCCCGGACCTCTGGGGTGTGTCATCTGTTTGGTAAATACAGTAGTTCGTCCTACGTGTGCCGGAGCACTCATGGTGCACAAACGGACGTGTAGGAGCCCCCATGGTGCACAAATGTACGTGCAGGAGCCCCCATGGTGCACGAAAATGCGTGCAGGAACCTATGGTGCACGAAAGTGCGTACAGGAACCCATGGTGCACAAAATACATGCAGGAATTGCCTTGAAGCACGAAAGTATGTGCGAGACGATATCCACGTAATATCATTGATATTTCTGACCAATATATGGATTACGCTACGCTCCGTTATCGTACGATATCCTAAGTTACGATTCGTAACGCCAATATTAGCCTTTGTAAACAATTGCGGCCGTAACACCTGACGTTTCAGTGGCCGCCGTCATTTTGTCGTTGTTATACAAGTTTTGTGCCACATACGTCAGTTATATTAGAATAATTAGGTTATTAAATTCAAAATTGCGATCAGTTTACAGTATCGCGCACCTGGCACACATTGCAAGTGACGTCACTAAAGAACGCGTAACTGTTGTCGTACCGCACCAACGCGTTTTAACCCGCTTTAAGAGACGAATACACGTGTTAACCATCCAATTGGCACGGCGCCGACTGTATCCACATATGGTAGTGCTCTTGGGGGGGAGGAGGAGGTCGATATCAAACGAGTTTTGCCTATAACGAAATAAAATACATACCCGCTGTGCCCTGACTGCACGTTAACACGTCAAGGCTCCGTACGATGACTTTCCTCCTAGTTGCCTTTGAGGAGATATCGTTTGCTCAACACACATAAACAAAGATATATATCATGGCCTCAGAGCGAAGATTTCCTGCTCGTAAGCCAATAGAGAAGGAGGGTTTGTGCGATAGCAAATCTCCCTCGCTCATATCCAAAAGGTATTCCACATCCATAAATAAGGCGAAGGACTGGCGGTTTAGGCGCCAGGAGGAGAGAGAAACCCTAATTTACTTCGGCACTTGGAGACGGGGAAGGTGATCCCACCATGCCAGACGAAGACCCATTGTGTCGTCCGTCTGTCATTGTCGTGATACTTGATGTGTCCTGATACTTGATGTGTTCTGATACTTGATGTGTGGTGATACTTGATGTGTCCTGATACTTGATGTGTGGTGATACTTGATGTGTCCTGATACTTGATGTGTCCTGATACTTGATGTGTGGGTGATATTTGATGGGTCCTGATACTTGATGTGTGGGTGATACTTGATGGGTCCTGATACTTGATGTGTAGTGATACGTGATGTGTCCTGATACTTGATGTGTCCTGATACTTGATGTGTCCTGATACTTGATATGTCCTGATACTTGATGTGTCCTGGTACTTGATGTGTCTTAATACTTGATAAGCTGTTTCATCGGAATGGTTACTGGTAGTTACCCATAAGCCTGTGTTATTGGTAGTTCTGGTACCCCCTACAACAGTGTTACTGGTAGTTCTGGTACCCCCTACAACAGTGTTACTGGCAGTTCTGGTACCCCCTATAACAGTGTTACTGGTAGTTCTGGTACCCCCTACAACAGTGTTATTGGTAGTTCTGGTACCCCCTACAACAGTGTTACTGGCAGTTCTGGTACCCCCTATAACAGTGTTACTGGTAGTTCTGGTACCCCCTACAACAGTGTTATTGGTAGTTCTGGTACCCCCTACAACAGTGTTACTGGCAGTTCTGGTACCCCCTACAACAGTGTTACTGGTAGTTCTGGTACCCCCTACAACAGTGTTACTGGTAGTTCTGGTACCCCCTACAACAGTGTTACTGGTAGTTCTGGTACCCCCTATAACAGTGTTACTGGTAGTTCTGGTACCCCCTACAACAGTGTTCCTGGCAGTTCTGGTACCCCCTACAACAGTGTTACTGGTAGTTCTGGTACCCCCTACAACAGTGTTACTGGTAGTTCTGGTACCCCCTACAACAGTGTTACTGGCAGTTCTGGTACCCCCTACAACAGTGTTACTGGTAGTTCTGGTACCCCCTATAACAGTGTTACTGGTAGTTCTGGTACCCCCTATAACAGTGTTACTGGTAGTTCTGGTACCCCCTACAACAGTGTTACTGGTAGTTCTGGTACCCCCTACAACAGTGTTACTGGTAGTTCTGGTACCCCCTCCAACAGTGTTACTGGTAGTTCTGGTACCCCCTACAACAGTGTTACTGGCAGTTCTGGTACCCCCTATAACAGTGTTACTGGCAGTTCTGGTACCCCCTACAACAGTGTTACTGGCAGTTCTGGTACCCCCTACAACAGTGTTACTGGTAGTTCTGGTACCCCCTATAACAGTGTTACTAGCAGTTCTGGTACCCCCTACAACAGTGTTACCGGTAGTTCTGGTACCCCCTACAACAGTGTTACTAGCAGTTCTGGTACCCCCTATAACAGTATTACTGGCAGTTCTGGTACCCCCTACAACAGTGTTACTGGCAGTTCTGGTACCCCCTACAACAGTGTTACTGGTAGTTCTGGTACCCCCTACAACAGTGTTACTGGCAGTTCTGGTACCCCCTACAACAGTGTTACTGGTAGTTCTGGTACCCCCTACAACAGTGTTACTGGCAGTTCTGGTACCCCCTACAACAGTGTTACTGGTAGTTCTGGTACCCCCTACAACAGTGTTACTGGTAGTTCTGGTACCCCCTACAACAGTGTTACTGGTAGTTCTGGTACCCCCTACAACAGTGTTACTGGTAGTTCTGGTACCCCCTACAACAGTGTTACTGGCAGTTCTGGTACTTCCTACAACAGTGTTACTGGCAGTTCTGGTACCCCCTACAACAGTGTTACTGGTAGTTCTGGTACCCCCTACAACAGTGTTACTGGTAGTTCTGGTACCCCCTACAACAGTGTTACTGGTAGTTCTGGTACCCCCTACAACAGTGTTACTGGTAGTTCTGGTACCCCCTACAACAGTGTTACTGGCAGTTCTGGTACCCCCTACAACAGTGTTACTGGTAGTTCTGGTACCCCCTACAACAGTGTTACTGGTAGTTCTGGTACCCCCTACAACAGTGTTACTGGTAGTTCTGGTACCCCCTACAACAGTGTTATTGGTAGTTCTGGTACCCCCTACAACAGTGTTATTGGTAGTTCTGGTACCCCCTACAACAGTGTTATTGGTAGTTCTGGTACCCCCTACAACAGTGTTATTGGTAGTTCTGGTACCCCCTACAACAGTGTTACTAGTAGTTCTGGTACCCCCTACAACAGTGTTACTGGTAGTTCTGGTACCCCCTACAACAGTGTTACTGGTAGTTCTGGTACCCCCTACAACAGTGTTATTGGTAGTTCTGGTACCCCCTATAACAGTGTTACTGGTAGTTCTGGTACCCCCTACAACAGTGTTATTGGTAGTTCTGGTACCCCCTACAACAGTGTTATTGGTAGTTCGCGTTCTGGGAAAAGTTGTTCCAGTGTCCTGAGGAGTAAAATATTGAGGCAAAAGGAGAAGAGACAAGTCTTCCCCCGCCAGGGAACAGGTCGAGGGATTTTGTCGGCGTGAACATTACCCAGAGTATTAAATCTCTCGGTTTTCCCCTCCCCACCATCTCCTGCTTTTCTTTTCACATTTGCTCCTGCTGGCTAGGATGGAGGAGGACAGCCGTGGAGGCGGCCTCTGCTTGCTGTCTGCTCAACTGCTTCCTGGATTACCATCTTCTTGGGAGATATTACCTGGGGCTCGTTCCTCTTCAGTCTGGCTTCCCAAAGCGGCGGTTCTACTGCTTCCTCGACGGCTCTTTTTTTTCCGCTGCTTTCTTGAATACTTTCTTTGTTATTTTCCTTGACCGCCGCATTTATTGTCTTAGGGATGATCTTCCTGGACGGTTTCCTAAACTGCTTTCACGACAGCTCCCTGGATCATCTTGACAGTTGTGCGCCCTTGTTGGCTTGTTGTCTATTTAGTCGTACTGGTTTGGCACTGTCGCTTCATAATTGAAATACAATAAATTGACTGACTAAAACATTTTGTAATATGTGTCGCTGAACCTTTACCGTACACAATACAATAATTCCCGGCACTTCTGCTAAAATTTTCCTTAAGACATCAATCTCAGTCATCCTAGAAATCAGTGAAAATCGTATCTTGGAAAATCTTACATCTCGGAGACTTGCATCAAAAGTACCTTTAAGTTTTTTGCCACTATCTTAAGACCCAAAAGATATTTCAAGACTTAGATACGTCAGTTCTGTAAGATCCTGCTTCGACCTTGTTTCTGGTACCACAACACCTAAGATAGCAGCTACCGCTCTACCAGAAGTTGTGGATTTGAAAGAAAAGTTGTTCGTCTCATAAGATGTGATCTCACATTATAAGGGTTTGGGTTACCTGTAACTTCCCTGGATCCTGTTCTCAGATTACTAACCCTCTCCCCCCCCCCCCTTCCACACACATAATTTAAATGAACAAATATATAATGTTACTGAATCATGAACTTAAACATATTTTACGAGGTTCTGCTACAGTCTGGGTGGAGGTGACCTGCTACAGTAGAGGGTGACCTGGTACACTAAGATGAATGATGATCTGCTACAGTAAGATGAATGATGATCTGCTACAGTAAGATGAGTGATGATCTGATACACTAGAGGGATGCAAAAGATTACAACCAGTTACAAGTGAGTGAGTGAGTGAGTGAGTGAGTGAGTGAGTGAGTGAGTGAGTGAGTGAGTGAGTGAGTGAGAGAGAGGAGAGGAAAGCTCTCACCTGCTCTGAGGGAGGTCGGAGGAGCCACCACCACGCCCGTGGGGTTCGAAGCCCGGCACTGGTAGACAGCGGCGTGTACATCCTGCCGGTAGTCGGTGCCGCTGAAGGGCCAGATCATCAGGGACCCGTTGCTCAGCACCTGCGTCAGGAAGAGTAGAGAGGGGGGTGTTACTCCAGGTGGGGGGAGGGGGGGAGGGGGGAGCCATACACTCAACCATACACGCCTGCACGCACGCTTGTATGGTTCCCTTCACGCACTATAGTTGTATACGGTATCGTCTGTGTGTGATTGTTTATGTTCGTGGATATATGTATGTCTCTCTCTCTCTCTCTCTCTCTCTCTCTCTCTCTCTCTCTCTCTCTCTCTCTCTCTCTCTCTCTCTCTCTCTCTCTCTCTCTCTCTCTCTCTCTCTCTCTCTCTCTCTCTCTCTCTCTCTCTCTCACACACACACACACACTCACACACTCACTCATTCCCGCCCCAAGACTCACCTCCCTCACCCCGGGGATATTGGTGACGGGGGAGTGGTCGAGGTTGAGCCAGGTGACCTGGGGTGGAGGGTCCCCCTTGGCCAGGCACCCCAGGGCGGCCCCGGAGGTGTTAGTGAAGGTCACGACCCCTGGGGGCGGGTCAACAAGCACAGGACCCGAAGGAGTGGTGTTCCCGCCGCCGCCCGCCATCAACATCGCCGTTCCTGCAATGTAAGAACGTATGGAGTGAAAAAAGCTGCACAGGTTATGGTCTATCTATATCTATACACGCTATATCTATATCTCTATACGCAGCCCGTTCTTCCGGGCGTTCCCAGCGTCGCTAAAATGATGTGCAAAATTGCTCCGAGCTAACCTACCCGAGGACCGCCCTCATACGAACAGAAAACGGTACATCGCGTCAATTTAGTAATTGGTTGCTCTACGAATGGAGTGTCGTGGTGGGAAAGGTGGAATGGTTGAAGGGGGGGGAGAGAGGGAGGGGGTGGTGCCTGACAGATCACAGATTGATTGACTGTGGACCGGCCATGAGCCACTAAAAATTAAAGAAACCATAGCAACAAAACTGGCCAATTAAAATATGCTAAAATCTTTCACCAAAAAAGTTTTGACAGCCCTTAATATAACGGCCAGTGTCAAAAGGTTCGTAAATTGAACTCTGATCCACGGACAATAATGAGTTTTGTGCGCAGGTAATATTTGTGGGATACACACGCACGCATGCAAGCACGCACGCACACACACACACACATATATTGGGAATTGACAGGGTTGATAAAGACAGGCTGTTTAACACAAGGGGCACACGCACTAGGGGACACAGGTGGAAACTGAGTGCCCAAATGAGCCACAGAGATATTAGAAAGAACTTTTTTAGTGTCAGAGTGGTTGACAAATGGAATGTATTAGGAAGTGATGTGGTGGAGGCTGACTCCATACACAGTTTCAAGTGTAGATATGATAGAGCCCAATAGGCTCAGGAACCTGTACACCTGTTGATTGACAGTTGAGAGGCGGGACCAAAGAGCCAGAGCTCAACCCCCGCAAGCACAACTAGGTGAGTATATACACACACACATACACACACACACACACACACACACACACACACACACACACACACACACACACACACACACACACACACACACACAATACTCGTTGCATCCCCCCCCCAAACAAAAAAATACAAATTGTAGGAAAAAATAATAATATAAACATATATACAATTTTGACAAATTTTTTTTGCATTCACATTTTATTTTATTTAATGGATGCGAAAGTTGATCACTTGAAAGGTTGTGTGTGTGTGATCACTTATATGATCACAATTGATCACTTATATGATCACTTATACGATCCACTCAGGAAGATCACTTGGATATATAAATAACAGGGATTAGTTTAGAGGGTTTATAATTATAAAACCAGGGGGCGTGGGGGGGGCGCATTTAAGAGGCTGTTAATTCACTGTATCAAGGTCGATGAATGCTTATCAATTTCTCGTTTGATGAGCCTAACTCTTGGGCTCTGCCTCATGGATATAAGTAGTTTAGCGGAGCAACTACTGATACTAATTCTTCGTTACGTCAAACAAGCTCTAATTTGCCTCCACGAGCGCAACGAACTTAATTCCTTAATTTACCCCAAGTTCACTTACGGGTAAATTGTAAGACCCAAGTGTCAACCCAAGTGTCACGGAAGACACTTGGAGTGTTAAGATTTTTTTTTAGCCTCGGCGATGATTCGTTACCAAGTGGGCAGCGAAAATAAGAGCGCCGAAGCATCATTGATGACTCAGATTCATCATTGATGAATCGGAGTCATCACTGATGACACCGATTCGGCGTCGAAGCGACGACCCTCTTGGAAATTATGCCCACTGGGTATAATTTTTCCCAGTGGGCATTGTAGACTTCGTCTGAGCCTTCACTCGCTACCTCCCGTCTGAGGTAGCGAGTGAAGCACAAGCACAAGCGAGTGAAGCACTTTACACAAGCGAGTGAAGCACTTTACACAAGCGAGTGAAGCACTTTACACAAGCTTAGTGCTTGTGTAAAAACTCACAAAATCGACGCGTGAGCTCCACCTGATCACCCAGGTGGACCGGTGGTCATCCTTCACTCGTGATGGAGCGAGTTGCTAGACTTCGAAGGATAGAGTAGCAGCCAATCTACTCAATCCGTTATTAAACTAGACTCACTAACCTCGGCTAGAACCCTGCAACACCTCCAGAGAGGAGATCATTGCCAGGTTGCATTGCATGAAAATGTGAAGCTTTAACCGTGGCAAATCTAGTTTTGAAGGGATGAGAGCTCTCAAGTGATAGAGGAAGACAGCTAGCTGCTAACGTAATCATTTCTTGATGCTTATGTAGCTGGCTGACTGGCTGCCGAACTGCCAACGTGGCTTTCCTGAGCAGCGTTCGACTCCTGCTTGAGCTTGACGAGACGTGAGTGTATTTTACGACCAGGTTTCAAAATTCAGTCGAAACTTTAAAATTGCTATACATTTAACTTGAATATGAGTGTGTGTGTAGCAGGTGGGTGATGACCATATGGTTGATAAGGCTAAGAACAAATATATAAAATCTATCTCTGAAGTCTTTTAAAAATTTGCAATAATAATGAAATATAAAAAAACATTCGTTTTAGCTCATCTCTTATTATATGTCCGGATTCATCGCTCCTATAGTTTGATGAGGAGGCCGGATGTAGCCGGATTCTACACCTCCTACAATCAACAAAAAAAAAAAACATGTTTTTCCAAAACAGAGCCATTATGCACTGGCCGGTACCTCGCTCTTCACACGAAGCTGTATCCAAATCGCTCGATCCGTTCGCTAGTTATTTTACAGACAGACAAACATGGATACAAACACTTCTCCCTAAAAACGAACCAATACATCATGGACGCCATATGCAAAACTCTACGTTAGCTGCTGCAGCCGTTGCCTTAGTGTGCGTTGCCTTGAGTAATGACAAATTTCCTTGTCGACAAGACCACACACACTAGACGTTGAAGGGACGACGACGTTTCGGTCCGTCCTAGACCGACATTCTCAAGTCGATTCGACTTGAGAATGGTCCAGGACGGACCGAAACGTCGTCGTCCCTTCAACTTCTAGTGTGTGGTCTGGTCAACATACTTCAGCCACGTTATTGTGACTCATCGCCTGCAAATTTCCTTGTCATTCATTTCCCTAATATTTGTCTGTCTGTCTCTGTCTGTCTGTCTGTCTGTCTCTGTCTCTGTCTGTCTGTCTGTCTCTGTCTGTCTGTCTGTCTCTGTCTCTGTCTCTGTCT